AAGAAGAGAAGGACTAAGAACTGGTGGCCAGGAGCAGACTTGCAGAATGTGCCCTTTGGAGATGTAATTTATTATATATGCCTGAGTGGGAAAAAAAAAAAGAATCATTCCCACCCCTCCACACACAGAGTAGAGAGGGATGGGCAACTTGGACACTGGCTACCCAATATGGGGCAGGGGGGCTACAAAGCAAGAAGTGACTGGTTTACAATCTTTCAAGAGGAAACTTAGATCCAGGGGGCATGGAGGAAAGCAGAATCTTCAGTGAGTACTCTCCAATCTGCCTAGGCAGAGCTGATGAAATAAAATGCAGATTGGTCTCTTGTGATACAACAGTGAATAACTGTTATCAGGACTGATTGTGAAGGTCAGAAATGTACAGGTAGACGTTTTATAGCAAGGAAGGGAGAGATTAACTTTCCAGTCTAGGAGCAGAGGTCCATAGGACCATTAACGGAGAAGAGCGGAGTGCGGGACCCTACCCAGAGAGGCAGTGATGCCTGAGATGGAGGCAGAGATGATGATGTGGGGAGATGGAGCAGTGGGGACTTTAGATCCAGAGAGGGAGAGGGACTGTGTGCTGAAGACTGGGGGGAGAGGTGTGGGGGGCAGGCTTGCAGGGTATACCTTTTGGTTGGTTGATGATGCATGGAGGGGATTATAACCATGGCAATGAAACAATATACGAAAGAATGAATGTAAAACTAATGTTCTCCCATGTAAACTATCACATAGCTCATAATAAAACATTAAAAAAAAAATCACCTATATAAGATTAAATGGTCAACAACAATTGAAAATAAGACAGCCAGGCTGAAGCAATGAGAATATTCATTCATTGTGAAGAATGTAACCAATGTAACCAAACAATTTGTGTAAAAATTCTTGAATAAAATGCTAATCTGCTGTGCAGACTTTCACTGGAAACCTAGTTGAAAAAAAAAATAAAAAAATAAAAAAATAAGACACACAGTTGTACTTGACAGCAACTACTTGTGGTTGTTGTTTAAAAAAAGGATAGAATAAAAACAGAAACATAATGAGCTGACCCTGATACACTTTTCTGGATATATTTTACATTGACTCAAACCACACAGGGAAGAACGGTTGAAAGAGATAGAAAAACTCTAACATTTTTTGAAGAAACAAAGGAATTAGCTAATGGAAAACACTGATGTTATGGGGTGACAACACTGAACCAGCAAGACACTTTCCAGGAAACAAGGTGACTCCTCTGATAGAATTAGCCTCCTAATCTACAAATAAATATTCACATGTTTCTTTGTTTCTTTCTTATACTGTAGCTTCCCAGCACAGACACTGGCTCAGAGCCAAAACAATTCGATAGCTCAATGGAGAATACTTGAATCTCCATAGCTAAAAGAATGCCAAGGGTAGGGGACTTGTTTCTTTTTTCTAGTTCATGTGATTCAGAATTCAGTCTTGATGATATACACTGAGCACATCTAGGGCTTAATTCAACAAGAACAACCATGTATTCAACAAGAACAACCATGCCCTAGGACCATCAAGGACAATCAAGAGCATGACTGGAGTGAGATCCTAACCAGAAAAGCGGTGACAGCAGAGACAGTGGCAGAGGCGATGGCATAGAGAGAGAGTGCAGCTGAGGACTCTAGGTCCATGGACTGAGAAAAGCTGGGTGCCTGTAGGCAGGAGGCTGGCTTGTAGAATGTGCCCTTTGGACATTTAAAAGAATATGTTTTGTTTTGTATGTGCACATCAAAAAAATATATATAGGTTAGAGGTAAATATGGTTAGCTGATGGTACATGGAATGGATTGTAATCATTGCAATGAAATGAAGCATAATTTGTTGAAAGTAAAAGTGATAATTTGCCCTGTAAAGTCACTTAATTCACAATAAAAACTGAAAAAGAAAAAAGAACAATCATGGAAATTTGTTAAATACAAACAAAATTCTTCCACAGAAAGTCCATCTTTGTCAATATAAACACCATTTAAAATGTGATATATTTTTTTCTTTTTTTTGTTCTACATGATGTCACATGAAAGATTAAAATCATACTTCAGCTGGGATGGATTACTCATTACTGTCAGTAACTTCAGGTTATATCCCACTTTCTTACTTCCTCTTCTAGAATGTGATTTTATTGTGCTAATTTAAATCTACATTAGTCCAAAGTTTGAATTTCACACATACTGTACAATAAATGAAGCTTCATTTCTTTCAACTCATTGTAAAAGGAATTAGCTAACAAGTAATGCTGAAGAAGAACATTTTGGATAATAGCTCTTGTAAGTAAACAGAGCATTTGTAGTCAGCACATTAATTGTATATGTCCAAATAAAACATCTGGATTCTAACCTACACTTTGCCAATGGCTCATTTTATGAACTTGGACCTTCACTCTTTGTGAGTTTGCTCTTATACAAAATGATGATCTTTTAATAAGGTCCTTAGAATTATATCTAAGTTTTTGAAAATGATCTGAGCTCAACTAGAAGAAGAAAGAAGAGGAAAAAAGAGCAATCTGATACAATTTGATGAACTTGACCTATACCTATAGATACAGTTGCTCAAAAGAGGGAACAAATCTTTACAGTGAGGATCATTCCCATCCAATCCATACACAGAGTAGACAGGGATGGGCAACTTGGACATTGGCTACCCAAAGGGGGTGGTTGATACAAAGGCAAGAAGTGACTGGCTTACAAGCTTTCAAGAGGGAGCCTAGATCCAGAGGGCGTGGAATAAGGTAGACAAAAAAAAAAGTGATTGGGGAAAAGCACACAAAACCAACCAAGATATTATTTTTTACCCTAAGAATGGAAAAATGAAAACAATTGATAGCATTAAGTGTTGCTAAGGATCTGAAAAAAGGGAGACTCACATATCTGAGTGACAGTGTATAAACTACCAAGTCTTCTCAGAAGGCAATTTGTAAAATGTCTACCATGCAATCATTAATTCAATTTCTAATATTTATGCTACAGAATTATATGATCACCAAAAAGTTCATCGAAGGACGTTCCCTACATCTTGTTTTAAATGCTGCAATATCATGTTAAAGCTACCCTATGGAATACCAAGCAGCAGTTTAAAATGACAACATTTCCAACACAAATATTTAAGTAACATCAAGTTATAAAACAGTCCATATGGTGCAATCCTAGTGGTTTAAAAAGCAAACAACAAAGCAAAACATTAATATAAGAAACTAGTGTAAGATATACTATGAAAATTTCATAGTAGTAATAATTATCTTATGTAAAGAAAAAGACTTCTGATTTATACTCTGTTGGAATTTTACTCAATTTGAATGTTATAGTATCTTCATTCATTATTCATCTTACTAACTTATTACATTAAGATTAATTATTTCATACTGACCATCCATGCAGGTAAGGAGCTGGGCTACAATCCTTCGCTCCATATCTTTTGAAGCAACTTCTCTTTTGGGGGTAATAGCATCTATTTCATCAATAAAAAAGATGCATGGTGCATTTGACTAGAAATAAAATATGAAAAGGCAATCATAAACATATTCCCTATGCTGTAGTTAAGTATATAAATATTTTTAAATCTTAAAAATCTTTACACACCAATCACCAAAAGAAGACCATGCAAAGAAGGTAGCTCACATGTATTAATTCTAATGTTCATCTGACTTAACAGAAACAAAATGCTTAAAACTCAGATAGTAAGAGAATGTACTCACAGGTAATGCATTTTCAGTTTTTTTCATCAATTTATATTTTGTGATGGCACATCAACTGAAATTCATCTGGAATTACACATATTTGCTATGCTCTGAAATGCTATTCTATAAACAACAGGATTATAAACTTTAATCTAGAAAATCCAGGCTATTTTAAAATGCCATATGAGTGTTTCTACCGATCTAAAAATATCCAAGCTTTTCCCTGGAATTTGCTTATAAGAGGAATTTCAGCACCAGAAGCTCATTTAAAAAATAATACTGGACAAAAAAAATGTAAAACTTCCAGTATAATACCAGTGTAGGTTTATCCTCAGTGTAGGCTTATCCTTAGTCTTTTATCAGAGATAAATCAGACAAGGATCAGGCAGAATAAGTTAATTTCAGTTTAAAGCACAGTTCATTTTTACTTGGTGATAGTAGTGAGGATGATTGGCTAAGATACCGCAAAACCAAGAGGACCACCACATTTTCAAGAGAAAGAAATCTGGTCCATAACTACCCGGCTCGTTTTTTTCTAATCCTCATGAAAATGTTTGCAGAAGAGTGCCTAACTGCTGGATACATGGCCCAGTAACAAATGAGCAAAGTTACATAGAGCCGAAGTCTCAAAAAACAAACGTATCAGTATTTGACAGTGACCTGGAAAACTGAGTGGAAAAAGAGGAAGAAAAAGAAAGTGACAGTCATCAGAATGTAGCCTGAAGAAAGCATATAGTTTTCAACAAGGAACCACTTGATTTGATTTGGCCACTCTGTCCTCTCAGGCACAAGTTTTATGAAAGAATTTCATCAGGTATACGAGGAAGAAAGGGTAGACACTAGACCATTTATTTATTGAACATCTACTGTCAGGACACTGCATTCATTCTTTTAAGAGACACAAACACAAAACTAAGAATTTAAAAGATACCTTTTTTCTCCTTATCTTCATGCATCATGTTTATCAAATACACAAAATTTTCTACTTGTCCTCCGCTATCATACCAATTTAACAATTTAAAACAGCTCCTTTTGAAAAACAGATAACTGAAAGAGTTCAGCTTGCTTTGCACAATATCCTTTCCTTTGCCTGAATTTTCCTTGTGCTATTCATACCTTTTAAAATGTCAGTTTTCATATCAAACCAAGTAGACGGCGCCTGCATTCTTCTTATTTTTTTAAAGTACTTTCACTATTAATACTAAAATACAATTTCTCATCTAATTTCATATCAGCTTCTACAGATGTATTGACCATGTTCATCAGCTATCGATTATTAGTACAAATACAGCATAAAATTGAACTTTTACCACTTTTTTACTCATCAGTAATGACTGACTAGTGACAATTCAAGTAGGCATAACACAATTGCTTTATGATAGGCTCACAGTAGTCAGAATCGACTCATCAGCAGTCCTCTTTTGTTTTGTTTTCCTGTGCCAGACACTACACTGTTGTTGCTTTTAAGTGCCTTCCAACTCAAAGTGACATTGTATAAGGCTTCCAAGGAACAGATGGTGATTTGAACAGTTCAATGCTTATCTTACAGCACACCAGCAGAATTCCTCTACACTTAATAGCAACATTATTTTTATTAGTCTTTGTTAAAGTGCCATTGAGTCAGCTCCAACCCACAGAGACCCTATATAGGGCTTCTGAGGAGCGGCCGGGGGGCTTAAAATGCATCCCTTGCAGTTCAAAGCAACTTAGCAGTTCAGCGCTTTAACCCATAGTGCCACACCAGGACACCTCAGTTATATAGAGGGCATTAAAAAAAGCTCATGGAAAAGTGGGATTAAAAGAATAGAATTTTTTCATAAATTTTCTGAAGACTCCTCATACAAACAAAGAAGAGTATATCTTGGCATTTTTAGAGTTGCCTTTCTAATGTAATAATCCTAAAAGGTAAAAAACACATGCAAGTTGCTTGTAAATTGTTTTGTCAAACTTCAGTTAAGGAAAGAAAAAGTGAGTAAAAATATCACAAAGACAATATATTTTTAACACATAATACTGGCTTTGTTAATGTTTTTAGGTGCTTGTCAAGCCAATCCCTACCCTATGTACAACAGACTGAAATACTGCCCTGTCTGTCCTGCGCCATCCTCACAATTGTTACCTTTAAGCCCATTGGTGCGGTCACTATGTCAATCCATCTTGTTGGGGGGTCTGGCTCTTTTTTGCTGATCCTGCACTTTGCCAAGAAGGATATCCTTCTCCGGGGACTGGTCCCTCCTGATGTGCCCAAAGTATAAGAGATGAAGCCTCACCATCCTCACTTCTAAGCTGCATTCTGGTTGTACTTCTTCCAAGACAGACTTGTTTGTTGTTCTGGCAGTCCATGGAATTTTCAATATTCTTCACTAACATGATAACTAAGCATCGATTTTCCTACAGTCTGCCTTGTTTACTGTCCAACTTTCACATGAATATGAAGACATGAAAAATACCATGGTTTCAGTCATGTGTACCACAGTTCTCAAACTGACATCTTTGCTCTTTTGCCTAATGCAATATGCCATTTGATTTCTTGACCACAACTTCCATAAGCACTGGTTGTGGATCCAAGCAAACTGAAGACTTTGACAACTTCAATCTTTTCTCCATTTATCATGTTATTTATTAGTCCAGTTGTGAGGAATTTTGTGTTCTTCACATGGAAGTGCAATCTACAAGGAAGGCTGCAGTCTGATCTTCATCAATAAGTATTTCAAGTCCTCTTTATTTTCAATAATAAGGAAGGCTGTTATCATCTGCATATCAAAGGTTGCTAAAGAGTCTTCCTCCAATCGTGATGCTATGTTCTTCTTCACATAATCCAGCTTCTTGAATTAATTGCTCAGCAAACAGACTGAATAAGTATGGTGAAAGGATACAACCCCGGCACACACCTTTCTTGATTTTAAACCATTCTGTGTTCCCTTGTTCTATTCAAATGACTGCCTCTTGGTCTTTGTACTGGTTCTTCATGAGCACAATTAAGTGTTCTATAATTCCCATTATTCTCAATGTTATCCATGGTTTGTTATGATCCACATGGTCAAATGTCCTCGCATAGTCAATAAAGCACAAGTAAACATCCATCTGGTATTCTCTGCTTTCAACCAAGATCCATCAGATGTCAGCAATAATAGTCCTTGTTCCACATCCTCTTCTGAATCCGGCTTGAAATAATCAGTTCCCTGATATACTGTTACAACTGTTTTTGAATTGCCTTCAGCAAAAATTTACCAGAAAGTGATTTTAATAATACTGTTCAATGATTTCCACATATCATTGGGTCACCTCTCTTTGGAATGGGTACAAATATGGATCTCTTCCAATTGGATGGTCAGGTAGCTGTCTTTCAAATTTCTTGACAATGATGAGTGAGCATTTCCAGTGCTGCATCAATTTGTTAAAAGATTCAATTTGTATTCCATCAATTCCTGGAACCTTATTTTTCACGAATGCCTTCAATGCTGCTTGTACTTCTTTCTTCTACACCATCAGTTCTTGATCATATAGTACACCTCTTGAAGTGACTGGATATCAATTAGTTCTTTTTGGTACAGGGACCCTATGTATTCCAACTTCTTTTGATGTTTCCAGCATCATTAACTAAGTTGCACATAGAATTCTTCAATAATGCAATCCAAGACTTGAATATTTTTCTTCAGTTCTTTCAGCTTGAGAAATGCTAAGCATGCTCTTCCCTTTTGGCTTTCTAACTCCAGGTCTTTGCACATTTCATTATAATAGTCTACTTTGTTTTCTCGAGCTGCCCTTTGAGACTTTCTACTCAGCTCTTTTACCTCCTTTCTTCTAGTTGCTTTAACTTCTTTATGCTCAAGAGCAAGTTTCATATTCTCTTCTGACATACATTTTTGTCTTCTTTCTTTCCTGTCTTTTTAATGACCTTTTGCTTTTTTCATCTATAATTTTCTTGGTATCATCAAATCTGCTCTTGAGATGTTCTCTAAATTCAGGTGTGATAATACTCAAGGACTTGTTATAATTTTCTTCAGCTTCAGCATGAACTTGCATATGAGCAACTGATGGTCTGTTCCACAGTCTGTTTTGGCTGATGATTTGAGCTTCTCTACTGTCTCTTCCCACAGATGTACTCCACTTGGTGAGATCCAGGTATATGGTCACCTGTTATGTTGTTGAAAAAGCTATTTGCAATGTATAAGTTATTGGTCTTGAAAGTTCTATCATGCCATCGCCAGTATCATTTCTTTCACTAAGGTCATATTTCCAACTATTGATCCTTCCTTTCTGTTTCCAACTTTTACATTTCAATCGCCAGTAATTATCAATGCACCTTGATGCATGTTTGATCAGTTTCAGAATGGAGAAGCTGGTTGCTGTTGTTTAGTACCCTCAAGTAGGTTTTGACTCACAGAAACCCTGAATAGGGTTTCCAAGAAGGGACTGGATTTTGAACCTTGTCGTCGTTTGCCATCCTACAATGCCACACTAGGAAATTGGTAACAGTCTTCAATTTCTTCATTACTGACCTTAGTGATATAGTGATATTATTATTATAGTCTTGCTTATAGGCGTATGGATATTATCCAGTCACAGTCAACATTGTACTTGAAGCTAGATCTTGAAATGTTTGTTTTCTTTTTGACAATGAATATACCACCATTTCTCTTTAATTTGTTGTTCCCAGCATAGTACAACCATATGATTTTCTTATTCAAAATGGTCAATACCAGTTCATTTCAGCTCATTAATGCCTAGGATATCGATCTTTATGCATTCCATTTCATTTTTGACAATTTCTAATTATAATCTCTGGTAGCGTAGTGGTTACGAATCGGGCTGCAAACCTCAGGGTCAGCAGTTTGAAACTACCAGCTGCTCCACGGGAGAAAGATGAGGCTTTCTGCTCCCGTAAAGATTGACAATCTCGGAAACCCTGTATAGGGTCGTTATGGTTCAGAACTGACTCAACGGCACTTAACAACAATGACAATTATAATCATACTTTGTAAATTCCATATTTCAGTTTTTAGTAGACGTTTGCAACCATTTTTTCTCATCTTATCAGCAAACGATGGTCCTGAAAGCTTAACTCCATCCACATCATTACGGTCAACTATACTTTGAGGATGCAGCTCTTCCTCAGTTGTATTATGAGTGACTTTTTAACTGAGGGCTCATCGTCCAGCACTGTATTCAATAATGCTCCACTGTTCTTAAAAGTGGCCTGCCTCCTTTCTCCTACTGTGTCTTAATCTAGAAGCTCTGCTGGAACCTGTCCACCAAGGGTGATCCTGCTGGCATTTAATTACCGGTGGCACATCTTCCGGCACCATAGCAGCACACAAGATGCGTAATATGACAGACTGAGAGATTAGTGGTGGTATTGGCTTTGCAGCCCAGAATTCCTAATTCATATTTACATCTGATTTCAGATTAAACAGATCATTTTATCCAACAGCCTATAATTAAATATAGTTTATATATTTAATCATCAATAGTATCACATGTTTGACAAAGACTATCCAGTGGAAGGGTTAACAAATACGACTGCTGTTGCTAAATCACTTTGAGTTAATTCTAATTTATAGAGACCTGATATAGGTTTCCAAATTCCAGTATTGTAGAAAACAGGTTTATTAGTATACTCTTACAACATCTGGACAATGTGACATCAAAGACATTAATAACTAACCACAGCTTGTTCGAATAGTTCTCTCAACTTCTGTTCAGATTCTCCAGAAACTCCAGACACAATCTCTGTAGCAGCTATTTTCAGAATAGGCAGGTCAAGTTCCTATGCAGAAATAAATAAGAGAAAGATTACGTTTTCCAATTTTAACTAGCTTACATTTTCCTTAACCAGTCTCCCCCTCAAAATTACAATTTAAAAAAAAAAAAAAGATTCATGTTCTGAGGAACTTGATCTTTCTGTGATCATGCAATGAATAACATTATTTCAGAATCTGTGGGTTTTAATTAAACACAGTAACGAGAGCCTTCTATCTGTCTGCCTTTATAGATGTTGCTATGAAAAACTTTCACATTATCTCTTCTGAGTAAGGGGTCCTATATCTCAAGACGTATGTATTCTTCCACTTAGAAATAAACAAAATATGTTTTTCTGTTAAGTAATGTGCTTGACAGGAAATAGTAGGACATGTGAAACAGTTGTCTTCACAGATGCTACTAAGATTTTTCCACACTAACTTAGTTAGAGAATAGCAAGTTATTAGAGAAGGTAGATCTTTTAAGATGAGAAAGATAAACTAGTCATGTCCCACCGATACAAATGTCAACATATCTAGCTAACTCCTACTCATTCTTCTGGCTACCCTGAAATTTTTACTTCCTCAACTGCAAGCCTATATTCCTTGATGCCCACATCTAATCTGAGTATTTCCAATACACAGTACACAGCACTCTGCAATTTCTGTCTTCTACTTATTATAATTGTACCTCTGGTGAAGTACTTATTTGAGTGAGTCTCTTGCACCTCTCTCATACCTAGACTGAAAACTCCTTAAAGACAAGAACTGGGTTTGGAGGACTAACCACTATATCCCAGTGTCCAATATGCAACAGACAATAAAGATTTATTCAACAAAGGAATAAATGAGATAAAACCATCAAGATCCTCTATAAAAATTACTTTTCTTTCAATTAGTCTATTAGTGACTGAAATAGTATGTTATTCTTTTATTTGAAGATACTTGGACATTTTATATTTTACTCTCCAATACAATTACTGAAATAGCTGAAATATGTTAAGACGTAGCTCTGAATTGAAATTTTGAATAATTATAAAAAAGGTAATCTTCAATTTTCTTACTTTACTGCTCTAATCTGTTAGCAATTAAACAGATAACAGAAGTAATGAAAAAGTAAACTACATTTAAGAAAAAAAAGGGGGGGTGGGTGTTTGTAGCTACAGTGTATTATTTCACTTGACACATATAAATAGGACACATTTTATAAAAATGCATGAAAAGGGTGAAAAATGGCCATATTCTCCTTCTGGGGGATATCAAGTCTAGTTAAAGTTGATCAAAAAGAAAAAACAAGAAACATTAACACAAAAATAACAAAAGCATGCAAGTGTCAGTAAGCCTCACCCCAGCAATTGCGTGCGCAAGTAATGTCTTCCCACAGCCTGGTGGCCCGTGCAGGAGAACTCCACGTGGGGGGATGACACCCAGGTGGTGGTACACCTCCGGGTGTCGCATGTGAATGAGCATCTTGCAGACTTCCTGGCAGGGAATAAACAGGAAAAATGTCTTTAAGACATTCCAAGAGAAATAATCAAGTGGAATTAAATGTCCTATTCTTTGAAGCAGCAAAACATAGTGCAGAGAGTACAGGTTTTAGACTGAGACTTGGGCTTGAATTCCAATTCTGAGTCCTCTTACATGACTTCAGGCAAGGCACAAGACCTCTGCAGGTCCCCCTTTCACAACGTGTAACAATCAAATGGCTCACGTGCTCAGCTGCTAAGACAAAGATGGGAGGCTAAAGTACTCAGTGGCACCTCACATGAAAAGCCTGGTTGTCTACTTTTGATAAAGCAGCCAGGGAAAACCTCATAGGATACAAGTCAAGTTTGCCCTTCTCACTTTCCCAGTTTCTTTTTCTATACCCAACTCAGAGATGTAAACTTTGTTCATAAAACGCATTAGCAATATACCCACTTGATCCATAATTATGCATTTGAACCAACCTTTAGTGTCATATCATTGCCTCCAACATCTTCAAACTTCACACTGGAGATCTGCAATTCTAGCCCCCTGGCTTTAGCTGCCAAGAAGAAAAGAGAGGAGGTGAAAGAAAAGATTATTGGTAGAGTAAATTAAAAAAAAAAAAAAAAAAGAATAAATAAATAAATGAAAGTGTTTAAATTTGGTGAATGTTAAACTAATTTATTTTGTAAATTTCCCCCAAAATCACAAAGTTATAGGAGATCAGTGATTCAATAATAATTCATAAATACACTTATCAGTATTTATGAAAATAAAGGTCCATTAGATAATGAAATGTTTTTTAACATCATGTTTTAAAATATGGGGAGAATGACTCCTTTTTTCACAGCAACATGAATACCCACAAGACATCCATTCACCTTTCTTTTGCAAGACAGTTTCTATTTCTGCATCCAATTCCTGAAGATCTTCTTTCTTCCTTTTGCTTCCTTTGCTCTTTAACCTGCCTTTCTGTTTTTTAGCACTCTCCAGGAGAGAAGAATCTTTTGAATCCTAGGGAAAGAAGGTGTGGCATTGTGGGATAAGCACTAGCCTGTTAACCACAAGGTTGGAGGTTCAACCCACCAGCTGCTCCTGTACAGGATTGCTATGAATTGGAAATGACTTGACAGTACTTAACTACAACTAAACATATAAAGCATTTTCAAGTGCATAAATTCATAAAGCAGTATAATTCAACAGAAAAGTCAAGCTTTTCCCTGACCTGCTACCCTTACCATTGTTCTCTACAAATGGATGATTAAAGCAAAGAGATTTAGAAAAGGCACATTATATAACTCAAAGTGGGAGAGTTTTGCCAAATCATAGGGCTGGTTTTTGAAATCACATAGAACAGCATGATTTAACAGACAAAGTCTGAGCCAGACATGGAATTTAATATATTCTAGCAGTCTGTCAGTCTTTCGTACTGTGGTAACTTACATGTTGCTGTTGCTGTGATTCTGGAAGCTATGCCACCAGTACTTTAATATTGTAAATACCAGCAGGGTCACCCATGGTGGACAAGTTTCATCTGAGCTTTGAGACTAAGACAGACTAAGAAGGAGGAGAGACGGACTACTTCCAAACATTTAATTTCTGAAAACCTTATGAATTGCAGTGAAACACTGTCAGCATCAGAATATTGGATATGGAAACATGATGAAGAGCACCAGACTAGTGTCAAATATAGTACCAGGAAACGAGCCCCTCAGGTTGGAAGGCATTCAAAACGTGACTGGGGAAGTGCTGCCTCATCAAATTAGAGTTGCTTTGAAGATGCTAATGGAGTAAAGTCTTCAGGACCTTCATTTGCTGATGGAGCACAACTCAAAATGAGGAAAAATAGCTGTAAACATCCACTAATAATTGGAACATGGAATGTACAAAGTATGACTCTAGGAAAAGTGGAAGTTGTCAAAAACGAAATAGAATATACAAAGATCAATATCCTAGGCATTAATGAGCTGACTGGTACTGGCCATTCTGACTCTGATACTCACATGGTTTACTCTGCCAGGAATGACAAATTGAACAGGAATGGCATTGTATTCATCATCAAAAAGAACATTTCGAGATCTATCATGAAGTCTCTGCTGTGGCACTGTAGAATAAATACTGGACTGCTAGCCACAAGGTCGATAGCTCAAACCCATCAGGTGCTCCTTAGAAACCCACACAGGGTCATTACATGGCATTTAACAACAGTTATCATAAGATAGATTACTTCAAACCCCTTCTCACTCTGCCAGGCTTTATAAAGAATGCAGTCCATAATAAAGTGATAATTCATCAAATTGTATTTTTCTTTATATAAATTTCCATTTAAAATGGAAAATAAAAGTCTACTTATTCTATGTATTTTCATATCCTATCCATTAATGTAGGATCCTTCAATGTATTACCCTAAATTCAAAATAAACCACATTAATATTTCAGCTGCAATCCTCCCTTCTACCAAAAACAATTAACTCTCTATAATATATACCCAAAGAGATTAATTTTTTACTATTATTAAAAGCATTTCAGGAAGTTCATTACGCATTAATTTAACTGGTGACTATGTACTTGACATGCTTTAATTAAAACACATTATTAAATAAAACAACATCCCTGCTCCCCTGGAACTCACATGTGGAGGGTAACAAAGAGTATTAAAAAAAAAAAAAAAAACAGCAACAAAACTAAGCAATGATACAATCAGGCAGGTGATTGATTATAAGTGCTTTTAAAAAGCAGAAGTGGGGAACTATATCCAATGAGGCACTAATTTCTCCTAAGTTAGGAAAGGCTCCACTGCAAAGATGGCAATGTAAACAGGAACATTTGAATGTGGGGAATGACTGCTGCAGGCAGAAAGCAAACGCCTGATATATTCTACAGACAGCACGAGTCCACTGTGGCTGAAGCAGGGGACAAGGGATAGGGCAGTAGGAGATGAGAATAAAAAGGCAGCAGGGCAGCCAAATCATGCAGGGCTTTGTGGACAACTGTAAGATCTGGCTTCCCAGCAGAATTAAGCCATTGAAGACGTAGACATAAGAGAATGACATTGACCTGATTTAACTTGTAAAAAGGTAACTATGTGTAAAATAAGCTAGGGAAACAAGAATGCACACAGATTCCAGCAAGGAGGTGGTTACAGGAGGTAGGGCAAGAAACAGGAAAAGGCTGAACCAGGATGGAGGCAGTGGTCAAAGTATGTCATATACACAAGTATCTGCCTGATATTGTCATATAGACTGTAATATAGTTCAATTAAACCAGGCTAGAATTATACAAAAATATTACCTGTATCTCAGATGCTGGTTTTTGATGATTACTTTTCTCATCTGCTAAATCCAAGAAAAAACTGTTTTTCTTTCCACCTGGGGTTTTGTCAATAAACCATCCTCCTTCAGAAATGGAGTCAGAGGTCTTCAAAGGAACGGAGCCTGTTCTGGAAGGCAACCGTGGTGCTGGACTGTTGGTTTCTCTTTGGTCCATGTCAGGAGTATTTGAAACTGAATCAGGATTTCCTTTCCGATATAAGCAAAGCAGGGAACTGTTCATATGATTGGCTGACTGTCAGAAACATGATTTAGTATAAATTACTCAACAGGTGCTCATGAACATTTATTCACCTGTATCAGTACATTTTCTACATGTGTTTTGCTTTCTACTTTTCCTGTGGCATTTACATTTAGAAAATGTAGTGTTCATAATAAAATGATCCATAAACAAGCTTTTACTATCCAAAAAGGTATAACCCCTGACTCCAAGTTAATGAACCAATACATAAGTGGGAATTTAACAAAATCAAAGTGGACCAATACCACACGACTGTTGACCCCAAATTATCAAACACACCATTATGCCATGACTTTGACAGACTCAAAATAACTCATGTGACTAACTTGGTCAAAGAAAAAAATGCACACTAATTCTCTTCTCTGCACAAGATGAGCATTCTTAATAATGAAGTAAAATGACATAAAGGCTTATTTTATAATCAGTGAACTTTAAGATACATTAACAGAAATTATCCAAATCAAGTCACATACGAAGATTTATTACTTATACTCACAAAGTCTTAAGTGCAACAAACATTAACTCAAACAAAGGATAATGAACAAATGACAATTTAACATTTTCTTTAAAGACAGTAGTTTTAGTAACAATGCATTAATTTAAAATACCTAGGTAAATTAATAAAGAGGAAGCATAGAATGGTAATTAAGAATGTAAACTTTAAAGGAAAAATATTCTTGATGATCACCTGCCAAATTTCTAACAGTGGTTATTTATGGAAAAGGAAATTACTAAAAGATACATGTTCTGCATCATTTACTTCTGTATACTTGAACTCTTTACAATAAACACAATTCTTTAAAAGTTTTATAATGAGAAGGTATATTTAAAATATTAGAGCCAAAACAACTGAAGTATCTAAAACCTAACAATTTTGTTATTATAAGAGGACTTGATTAGCTGATTGTCTTCCCGCCTCCCCCCGACCCATTTATCTTACTTTTTGTTGTTTTTGAGAATATACACAATAGAACTGACACCAATTAAATGATTTCTCCTGATACAATTCAGTGACATTGACTGTGTTCTTCAATATATTCATATTCTGCAGCATACTCAATGTCATTGTAGCATGCTCAAGCATTATTCATGAATACTACTTAGCTTCAATTAAGAACTATGTAAGTCTTAGTCAACTTGATGTCTTATCTTAGTGAGGCAAGCAAAGGTCTGGTGGATTAGCTGGCTATTTGACAGGAAGGACATCACCTACAAGGGACCTGACAAATTTTTCATATTTTCCAGGTTGCCCAGAGAAACTGTATACAGGTACAGAAGAATGCATGGGAGCCGGAGAGAAAATAGAATCCAACACATACCAGTAGTTTTAGTGAATTTCCCCAGACTATACACATATGCCTCAGCATAAAGTAGAAGCTTCAACTGGCCTTCTGAGGACAACCTCTGATCAATCTTTGGAGGGTAACTAAGCTATGCAGACACAGGAAACAACGCTTAAAAATAATAGCAAGCAAAACAAAAAAACAGTAAGCCTGAGCAGAAACATCAGCGACCACACAATGCCAGAGAGAAAGACTTCATGGAGTTAATCCACACTACTAAAGAAATGCAAGAACCACCCACCGACCTTAGGGGGAAAAAGTTAGAATCCAGAGTTGCTACAATACACTATGCAAAATATCCAGTATTCAGCAAAAAATCATGAGCTATATAGGAAGAAAGTGTGACTCATACTCAGGAGTAAAAAGTCCACTGAAACTATCTGAGTGTCTCCTGTTACTGAATTTAGCACAGACGTCAAAAAGGCTATTACAAATATGATGAAAAAGGTCATGCTTAGAGAATTAAAGGAAAAACACAGTGACAATGATTCAAAGTGTAGAGAATCTCAATATAGATTTAGAATTGGTTTTAAAGAACCAAGTAGAAATTCTGGCGTTGAAAGGCTAACAAAATTAATAGAATGATAAATTTACTAGAGATCCTCAACAACAGATTTGATCTAACTCAAAAACATAATCAGCAAATGTACTCAAATCAAAAAAAAAACAAAGAAAAGACTGAAGAGGCTCACAGGAAACTCATCATTAAACAAAGCAAACAAAACAAAAATGAACAAAATGGGCAAATTAAAAAGCAGCAGCCTGGGTTCCACTTAGGACTCCACCACATAGTAGCTTTATTTCTTGAGCAGAGAATCTAGCTTGCCTAATCCTCCAAATATAAGAGTTGCTGTTGTTGTTATGTGCCATGGAGTCGGTTCCAACTCATAGCGACCCTGCACAGGGTTTCCGAGGCTGTATATCTTTATGGGAGCAGAAAGCCTCATCTTTCTCCCGCAGAACAGCTGGTAGTTTCGAACTGCTGACCTTGTGGTTCACAGCCCGATTCGTAACCACTACGCTACCAGAGCTCCTTAAATATAAGAGAGACTGAAGCTATTACAATATTATGACTACTGAGGAAGAAATCTATTAGATTCTTCCCTATCAAATGTGAATAATACAAGCATCACTCTCTAAGTACAAAACATTCCAATAAAAGTGGAACAAATCAGGAATCTCATGCAAACTGGGAGCACTCAAATATTAAAATCAATTAAAAAAAAAAAAAGGCCATTTCTTGTCATCCTATCACACTGACCAAATTCAAGTATCTCCAGTTCAATAAAGATTCAAGCCAATAAATTAACTGTCTTTTTCACTAGAACCCTTAAAAATAAAAAGAAATGACTAACTTTAAAAAAAAAACTTTGATCTGTGTAAATGCATTTTAAAACAGTCATTACTATCTATTTAGTTATTACCACCTCTGGAAATTTTGATTGGCAAAGTTTGAGATAGGGCCTAGGAAGCTTCTTCTTTTTAAATTTCTTTAGTTTGGAAAACATTATTTTGAAAAACGTCACATAAACAAACAGAAGTCAGTGTGTAAATCAGCTAGTAGTCAATGAAAGTCACTAGTATCCATCAATTGAAAACCGGCTCAACCACAACAACTAAGTAAAATCATTATTTTGTTAATAAAATTTTTAATGAATTACCAAGGTAGAAAAAATAGCAAGTTTGAAGTACTTTTACATCTTATTCCTATGCTCACCTTAAAACAAGCCTATTCATCTGCAACTCCAGATCCATGGCAAAAAAATACATCCTTTTCTCCATCTGATCTTATTTCTGGCCATTCTCTTTTTTTTTTTTCCTGAATAACTGGTCACAATATACTTAAAGTATGCCTACAGAGCTCAACCAGAAGAAGACAGAAGAGGAAAAAAAAAAAAAGATAATCTGATGCAATTTGATGAACTTGACCTACATCTATGGATGCAGTAGCTCAAAAGACGAAACAAATCAAGGATCATTCCCACACCCTCCACACACAGAGTAGAGAGGGATGCATAACTTGGATATTGGCTTCCCAAAATGGGGGAAGGGGGCTACAAAGGCAAGAAGTGACTGGCTTACAAGCTTTCAAGAAGGAACCTAGAAGGGGAACAAACAAGATGGAGGATCGGTTGGACGTACAGCAGAGAGCTCCGACAACAACAACACGGAATACCCAAACAAGCAGGTTCAGGGGATGGTCCCAGAACTCTGAATCACATATAAGGGAATACTTACAAGGTTGGAAGGCTCACAGCTGGGGGAATTTGTGGCAGAAGGAAGAAATCTATTGGTTTCTTGTCCGGGATGCTCGGCTGCTCCAGGAGCCGCCATCATGGGTGAGACCACGTGGGGAAAGGATCGGAGTGGCCACAGACGCCTGGCAGAACCGCTGAGATAAAGGTGTGGAC